CCTACTACACGTTTCTCAACGGTAATCGATGCACCTGTTGCAAAGCGCACCGTCATCCTCGTGAGGGGGATGTCGCGCTCAACGAACTTGAGCCTACGACCCTCTAGTGACTGGCGTCGAACAAAGTTGTTCGACGCCCCACATTCTACTAGGGCACGAAGCGACAAATCATTTGTCGCTTCCAACTTCAAGGTGATGAGCAAAACGTCATCACCAGGTGCAGAGACACGCAATGATTGTGTATCTGGAGCAACTTTCGTCAAGAGATTTGCAAATTCTCTTGAGGTTGCTGGATCAGTAGGGCGCTTCGCCCCTACTGACCCCGACCTTTTTTTGATGGTCCGTCTCGCTGTTGCGGCTTCGCAACAGCGCTGGACCCACGCCCATTGCCCTTTCTGGAGAATGGTCGTCCATTTCGCTCAGTACTGTTTGGTACTGGGCGTGGAGCACTACACTCGTATGCGTAGTGCCTTAACTTCTGACAGCGATTGCACCTCTGCAATCGCTTGTTGTTTGAAGAGCGAGGTCTCTCGCTCTCAACATAGCAGAGGTCCATTTGTTCTGGACCTCCGATCTCTTGTCGTCTCGGTGGACGGTAATAGTTTGAGCTAGCATGAGCCTGTCTCATGCTAAAGACCTCCTGTTCCGCGGCTGATATCGCTTCTTCAAGCGTATTCAGCTCAAGGCGAACAGGTGGCTCCTGACGGGCCCTTCTGCGAGCCCTTGCATGAACACCGTAATCAACGTGTGTTCATGGACTGGGTTGGCAGTTATACTACTCGCTAGGAGTCGTATATGTTGTGCGTAAGCGTGCACATCACGCTTACCCTGCTTGGGTTTCAGTAGCTCAGACCGAGCCCTGAACTCAGCTCGTGGCGGCTCAAACGTTTGTCTGAGCCGGGACTTGAGGTCATCTAGCGACCTAAACACATGTGGGTCGCTACTCTCGAGCCTTAGGGACCAAGTTTTGGCACGCCCTGCCAAGTGGGTCTGAGCAAATGTGAGTTTCATTTGCTCATCTTCGACGCGACGATCCCTTAAGGCTCTGTCGAGTTCGACAAACCATCGTAACAGGGAGTCCTCCGGGGCTCCACTGTACTTGGAGATGTCAACCTTCATGACCTCGGGACGACGCGCATGTGCCGTCCCGCCAACAGCAGCATGGAATTGCTGCTGTCTCAACAGCTCTGTCTGTTGAGCACCGAGTTCTCTCAACTGCTCGGCCTGTTGAGAGCCTTGCTGGTGAAGCAAGGCTACTTTCTCCCTTTCGGCGACAAGTTCACTTTGGATAAACTTGGCTATAGCGGCATGTTGTTGGTCTCTGTCTAGAGACTCCAACATGGCGCTAATGGCAAACTCGCCTACGGTATAACTCATTCGTTCTACCGCACCCCATTCGATATCACTCAAATGGGTAAACCCTTCACGCGTGGCGTGAAAGGTCTCTTCATCATCCAACATGTTCATGTTGGATGTTGTGGTCCTTGGAAGGACTACAAAGTGCTACCAGGTGTAACGGGGCACACCCTTGCGTGAACTTAACGCAAGGGTATCGGTGCCCCGACAGACGTACACAAGGCAAGCGAGGAAGCGTAGGGAGGGTAAAAGAAGAACTGTTATATTAATATTATTAAGTCTTTTAACTACTGTCTCTTTGTTTGACTTAACTTAATTATGCTAATATAACTGAGTGTATGGTGACGTCTCGTCACCACTCATTGCGCGCGTCTTGCGGCGATTGGTGGGTTGATATCATCAAGATATCAACCAATGGACAGACTCTTTGGTCGACCCTTCAATATCACCGCTTCGGTGATATTGTTTAAAGAATATTCAACTTCATATTCTTTATTGTCACTTTCCTTAAAGTGACAATTCCATGTAACGGGTTGCCCCGTTACAATGCAGGCTACTTTACGACCAGCAGCCTAGCAACACCCTTGCAAAGTCAGACGCTATGACATGGCTTCAGATGTCAACGATTGCTCTGCGATCGCATCCGTTCGTCTACAAAACAGAGATAGGTGTTTGCATACTCATCTCTTCGCGTTCGAATACGAGAAAGACTGTTGCGTCACGATCAGTGTCCGTGAACCCGGCAATCGATTGTGCAATGCCGCGAGCCCACATGAGTGCTTCGTTAGGACGATGTTGTTCACGTGCTAGACGAGCTTCTATTGTTCTTCCCCAGAAAAACAAATGGCAGAACGTACACACCACGCTAAACAACAAGCAACAGCGATACCTCACAACGGCGATGTCGACACGATCTTGTAGGCGATGTCGACCCGATGAGGCGATGCCGACTCATGTGCTGTATTTTCGCTATTTCGACTGTCTGCGTCAAGGCACAACGAAACCACGAAACGGTGCGTGGAAGAGATCCTTACACTTACTCACCTTTGTGTGCTCGGCTCTACTGGGGTGGCTCGAATCAATGATTTGACTGAGCATCAACGTGGCGAGCATGCGGGCCTACTTCTCTGTCACCGGCAATGTATGAGATACTGAACTCGTTTGGTGCCACGCTTATTCATGGCGCTTGACTCGATTCGTTGCGTTCGAGATTGCGCGCATCAGGTCAAGGTATGCATTCTACGTTGCGTGCACTCGAAAGACGAGCGTGATGCGTGTAAATGGAAATACTAAACGAAGAGATATGTATGTAATGCCTGAGAGACTGCAAGCGATGCACACAAAAGCTGCAAGTTTAGTGCAGCGAGTAAGAGTGTCCAAACGATAACGGACTAGAGCAAGCTGGGGAGCGATAGCGCCTGTGATTTACGGGTTTCGGTCACAAATTGACCGACGGATGTGAGGCGGCAAACCGATGAAGAATCAGGTGAGCCATACAAGTTATTGGAGTTCACACAACCTCAGTGATGGATGAAGATGAACGGCTCAGCTCCTTCGACAGCAGCAGCATGCAAAGTACGGAAGTGCGACTGCAGCGTTTTGGCGAGCAGGGCCCTGTCTCTTGAGCCAAACGATGTCAGGAGCGCCGCTACTACGTCGTTAGCTGACAGCGCTAGTATTGCATCTTGGCGGGAGACGTCATCGACTGGAGATCACAAAGGCTACAAAAAGCCTGCAGTTCGACCTACCCGGCCTTGTTGGGGCCTATATCGAGCATCTTGACATAGCTTCTTTCCTCGCATGGTCTTCGCTCCCTGACCATCAAGTCTACTTTGGGCCATCATCAGGCTACTACTGTTCTCGTTTTACCAATACGCTCCACTACGAAGACTACGTAGCAACTCAATCTCGTTTCGATAGCTCGCACTTTGTTGGGATACACAGGTGTATCGTCTTGTGAGAGAGACGTTGCTCTGCGCTTTGCGTCCATGTAAGGCACGCAGTGACTCTAGTTGCGAGATCCCTTCACATGCATCACTTTGAATTTGTCGAATTTAAGGGGAAGAGTGCATTCACACCACAACTTCTACCGGCTCCGGTCAAACCACGGCATCGCTACCCATAGCAACAAGGACACGCTAGCTCTCTGCATAGCGCCGAAAGACGAATGCAATGTCGTTTACATATAGTCGCACGTTGGGCTACGTGCGACTTACAGCGTCGAGAAATCGAGCCAACACATCGGGTTGCTCGTTCTGTCAAAGTTCGTATCGACAGCGCACCGGTTGTCATCCTGGACCTATCTAGACCTCGTAGTAAAAGCCTCAGCCGCGCTCCTCTTTTGTTTTGCCACCAAACGTACCGAACGTAACGCGCTAAGCAAACGCTCTTTTGCACTCCGGACTGCCCGATGCTCAGAAACAAGGGGCTGACTCCTGCTGCTTCTATGGCAGCTTGCAACTAAGTAGCATGCTCCCATCTTGAGGTACACAATGCGCTCGCTTGCTGAGAATGACGTGAGGTCAGTTGCTTCGTGTGCACACATGGACTGCTGTTGACCGATCCGAGCCTCTTTGTCGAAGCAGCGACTGTTGGATTCGGCTAGCGAGACGCACGATTTGTCTGCAGCGTGACGAACCCGAAACATTGCATTTGCCACACGTACATACCTGTTGCCGTGTCGTGTGGCACTTACGCAAGCGCTGATGATGATGTGGGTGAGCCATAAGCACTCGACGGGTCCTCCAAACCATTTGTGGTCTAGTGTTCGAGGAACCGTTAGGTGTGATGATCTATGTCGAGCGCGTGTTGTTGGAAGCGGCCCGTTGCGCTTCTTGTCTCTGTGTGCAACCACGCGAAGTTTGGCCGCTCACTCGTTTCCACAGAAACTCGAGCGCAGAATATCCCAATTGAACCGTAAGTGGCCATTCTGCTTGTCCAAGTAAGCCTAAGTACAGACCTCTGCAACAAGACCTGAACCGAGTCGGCGAGCGATGGCAAGTATCCGGTGGAAGTCGACTTGTTCACCGTCGAATCTCTGACGCAAAGCATGCCCACGGAAGAAACATCTGCACTTGCTAGCATGACCTATGGAAGCTCGAGCAAGGTGGCGTGAAGGACTGGATGGCAGGCATTCACCAGGTCGAAGCAAACAACTCCCTTCTTCCGCTTTTGCAAGTAGCGACGTTGGTGTAGGTATGTGGCGCACGGGCATTGAGAAGTTGTTGGTGTGAGGTATGACGTGATCGTCGTTGTTGTTGTGAAGGTCGAAGTGTTAGCGGCTACGTGCCACATACACAGACGCTCGTGTTGCCTCTGACACAGGCAGAACGAGTTTGTCACTCGATATGGTGCCGTACGTTTCGTGCCACGGAGACCGATCTCGACAACTGACCAGCCGCTAGTCGACAACAGACAGACCGAATGGCGGATTGATAGCCCCAAAGTCGAAAGCAGTCGCTGTGCGGATATCCCGAAAACAACGTGAACACCAGTGGTGCCGGTAGTAACCGAGCAACAAAAGTCTCTTTGTCACGAACGACGTGCACGTGTGTGTGCACCTCCTTCGGTCTCGACAAGTCGTCGCATGCGACTCCTCTCACTACTCGTTCCTACACATTCCAACACCTTCCACCACACTCCTCCTACAGCTTATCCTCTTCCTTTGACTCCGTGTTCGGCACCGGTTCATACGGCGGGAACGAGTTGTAGCCCTCGAGGCCCTTCTTCGCGTCCCAGTAGAACTCGTAAGCCAACGGCTCCGCCAGCGGCCAGTCGTGACGGAAACGCGCCGGCAGGTCCGGATTCACGAGGAACGCGCGACTGAAGCCCACGAGATCGGCCACGCCCGCGTGCAGCACACCTTCTGCCTGATCGCGGCTGTAGCTACACGTGGCCATGACGCGGCCCTTAAACAGCGTCTTCAGCTCAAATAAAGTGAACACGCGGCTCTTGTCCGAGCGGCCGAAGCCAAAGCCGTCGTGGGTGGCCAGATAGCCGATCCCCAGGTGGCCGAGCTCGGCGATCGCGTACGAGAACGTCTCGTAGTTGTCCTCGCTGCCCATGCCGCCGAACGCGCCGTTCGGAGCGAGTCGGACCCCGATGCGGTCCGCGGGGTACACTGTCGAGACCGCAGCAACGAGTTCGCGCAGGAACCGGAAGCGGTTCTCGACCGATCCGCCGTACTGGTCCGTGCGTCGGTTCGTGCTCGACTGCAGGAACTCGTCAATGAGGTACCCCCCGGCGCCGTGGAACTCGACCCCGTCGAATCCCGCGCTCTTGGCACGCTCGGCGCACCTGCGAAAGTCCTCGACGACCTGTTGCACCTCGTCGAGCGTCATCGCTCGGGTCGTGGCGAAGCTCGCGGGGTCCCCTCGTGCGTCGTGCGTGCGGCCTTCGGCATGACACGACTGCGAGCACGACGCGACTTCGTTGCTCGGCTGAAACGACGGGTGCGACTGCCGGCCCATGTGCCAGAGCTGCAGGAACATCTTGCCGCCCTGGGCGTGCACGGCGTCGACGACGCGGCGCCAGCCTTCTTGCTGCGCGTCCGTGTAGAGCGCTGGGGCTCCGTACCAGCCGTAGCCCTGTTCCGACACGGCACATCCTTCGGAGATGATGAGGCCCGCGGACGCCCGCTGCGCATAGTACTTGGCGTTCTCGTTTGTTGGCACGCGCGTTTCAATGTCGGAACGAGCGCGTGTGCAGGGCCCGACAACGAGACGGTTTGCCAGGGTGAGTCCGGAAGAGAGCTCGAGCGGCGTGAAAAGCTTGTAGTCGGCGAGAGTGGCAGACATGGTGCGCTGGTCGTGGCGTGAGTGTGTGAGTGGGGACGTGTGTGTGTGTGTGTGTGTGGCTGCAGCGGGAAGTCGTTGCAGTGGGTTGACGCGAATGGCAAAGTGAGCAGGAGTGCGGTCGAGTGGAGAGGTGCGGGTCGGGTATGCGATTGACGTACGAGGTTCGTGGGTTATTGCTACCTCCTGCCTGCACGGAGAGGACGGCGAACGAGACGTGACGTGACGGATAGAGGAGAGACTCGCATGGCACTCGTCCCGGATGATCGATCAGCTGTTGTTTTTTGTGTCGACACTTTGATCCTATACCGAGCTATTGCACAAACAGTTGACCACACGGTGGCAAGCTGTGCCCTTCATATGTCTGCTCCTTTGGGATGGCGCAAACGTGATGCAGAGTGCTCACGGTATCACGTCGTCGACCCACGTCGTCATACGGACTTGATATTCAGGATCTTGGAATGCTCACGTCTTCCAATTGTAGGAGGTTCTCAGGCTTCCCAAGCCAAGATGCCTCGATGCGAACAGCTTATTCAAAGAGCCCGTAACGAAAGGACCAACGAAGACTTGCAAAAGAGGCGTTGTTGTAAGCAGAGACCACACCCGGCGCTAAATGTACGATAGCGGTGTAAAGGAGGTGTTCAGATTGCTTGCATTGATGGCGGAAGTTTGTATGCTTCCGTGTACTGTCATTCCTGTATATAGCTGTAAACCTTATCATTTGATTGGATGACAAGTGTCATGCTCGTATGAGTTATGAAAGTAGACGGAAGCATTTCATTTTTTCCAGCCATTACAATCATGCACATCTGAACACCTCCTTTACACCGCTATCGTACATTTAGCGCCGGGTGTGGTCTCTGCTTACAACAACGCCTCTTTTGCAAGTCTTCGTTGGTCCTTTCGTTACGGGCTCTTTGAATAAGCTGTTCGCATCGAGGCATCTTGGCTTGGGAAGCCTGAGAACCTCCTACAATTGGAAGACGTGAGCATTCCAAGATCCTGAATATCAAGTCCGTATGACGACGTGGGTCGACGACGTGATACCGTGAGCACTCTGCATCACGTTTGCGCCATCCCAAAGGAGCAGACATATGAAGGGCACAGCTTGCCACCGTGTGGTCAACTGTTTGTGCAATAGCTCGGTATAGGATCAAAGTGTCGACACAAAAAACAACAGCTGATCGATCATCCGGGACGAGTGCCATGCGAGTCTCTCCTCTATCCGTCACGTCACGTCTCGTTCGCCGTCCTCTCCGTGCAGGCAGGAGGTAGCAATAACCCACGAACCTCGTACGTCAATCGCATACCCGACCCGCACCTCTCCACTCGACCGCACTCCTGCTCACTTTGCCATTCGCGTCAACCCACTGCAACGACTTCCCGCTGCAGCCACACACACACACACACACACGTCCCCACTCACACACTCACGCCACGACCAGCGCACCATGTCTGCCACTCTCGCCGACTACAAGCTTTTCACGCCGCTCGAGCTCTCTTCCGGACTCACCCTGGCAAACCGTCTCGTTGTCGGGCCCTGCACACGCGCTCGTTCCGACATTGAAACGCGCGTGCCAACAAACGAGAACGCCAAGTACTATGCGCAGCGGGCGTCCGCGGGCCTCATCATCTCCGAAGGATGTGCCGTGTCGGAACAGGGCTACGGCTGGTACGGAGCCCCAGCGCTCTACACGGACGCGCAGCAAGAAGGCTGGCGCCGCGTCGTCGACGCCGTGCACGCCCAGGGCGGCAAGATGTTCCTGCAGCTCTGGCACATGGGCCGGCAGTCGCACCCGTCGTTTCAGCCGAGCAACGAAGTCGCGTCGTGCTCGCAGTCGTGTCATGCCGAAGGCCGCACGCACGACGCACGAGGGGACCCCGCGAGCTTCGCCACGACCCGAGCGATGACGCTCGACGAGGTGCAACAGGTCGTCGAGGACTTTCGCAGGTGCGCCGAGCGTGCCAAGAGCGCGGGATTCGACGGGGTCGAGTTCCACGGCGCCGGGGGGTACCTCATTGACGAGTTCCTGCAGTCGAGCACGAACCGACGCACGGACCAGTACGGCGGATCGGTCGAGAACCGCTTCCGGTTCCTGCGCGAACTCGTTGCTGCGGTCTCGACAGTGTACCCCGCGGACCGCATCGGGGTCCGACTCGCTCCGAACGGCGCGTTCGGCGGCATGGGCAGCGAGGACAACTACGAGACGTTCTCGTACGCGATCGCCGAGCTCGGCCACCTGGGGATCGGCTATCTGGCCACCCACGACGGCTTTGGCTTCGGCCGCTCGGACAAGAGCCGCGTGTTCACTTTATTTGAGCTGAAGACGCTGTTTAAGGGCCGCGTCATGGCCACGTGTAGCTACAGCCGCGATCAGGCAGAAGGTGTGCTGCACGCGGGCGTGGCCGATCTCGTGGGCTTCAGTCGCGCGTTCCTCGTGAATCCGGACCTGCCGGCGCGTTTCCGCCACGACTGGCCGCTGGCGGAGCCGTTGGCTTACGAGTTCTACTGGGACGCGAAGAAGGGCCTCGAGGGCTACAACTCGTTCCCGCCGTATGAACCGGTGCCGAACACGGAGTCAAAGGAAGAGGATAAGCTGTAGGAGGAGTGTGGTGGAAGGTGTTGGAATGTGTAGGAACGAGTAGTGAGAAGAGTCGCATGCGACGACTTGTCGAGACCGAAGGAGGTGCACACACACGTGCACGTCGTTCGTGACAAAGAGACTTTTGTTGCTCGGTTACTACCGGCACCACTGGTGTTCACGTTGTTTTCGGGATATCCGCACAGCGACTGCTTTCGACTTTGGGGCTATCAATCCGCCATTCGGTCTGTCTGTTGTCGACTAGCGGCTGGTCAGTTGTCGAGATCGGTCTCCGTGGCACGAAACGTACGGCACCATATCGAGTGACAAACTCGTTCTGCCTGTGTCAGAGGCAACACGAGCGTCTGTGTATGTGGCACGTAGCCGCTAACACTTCGACCTTCACAACAACAACGACGATCACGTCATACCTCACACCAACAACTTCTCAATGCCCGTGCGCCACATACCTACACCAACGTCGCTACTTGCAAAAGCGGAAGAAGGGAGTTGTTTGCTTCGACCTGGTGAATGCCTGCCATCCAGTCCTTCACGCCACCTTGCTCGAGCTTCCATAGGTCATGCTAGCAAGTGCAGATGTTTCTTCCGTGTGCATGCTTTGCGTCAGAGATTCGACGGTGGACAAGTCGGCGTGCACCCCGACGTGGGTCATACACGTATCCCGTACGCTTTTGCGGCGCAATGGTTTCGTCGGTATAGTGTGTATGGGTAGCCACGGAACAGCGGCCACTTCTGAGGGACGACTACAGTTCAGGTCGGTTCCTCCCACTTTCTTTATCGTTCAGCGACGTGACCTGCCATTACACGCCTGACTGTCAGCCGTAATTATGCTGTTGTCAAACCTCACATCTCCGGATCCTGTAATCCGAAAGATACTTTTTTGGTAGCGATCACGCTGCATGTACGCATTCAGTCTCTCTCTCGTGTTGTGGATGTCTGTAGTCGAAACGCCTAAGGAGACGAATACGTGTCAGCAGTGCACTACGTCACTCCTTCAGGTGAGGACTGCGTGCCAATAGACGACAAACAGTTGGAAGACACTTTGGGGGTCACCAGTTTCTTTCGATCTCAGTGGGTTGTGCGTTGCTGTCCATGACTACGAAACTGACGCTTCCGACTCGTTGGGCGCATGTGATACCAGCTACTCACCGTCACGTTTGACGAACGCATCCAACGCACCTTGTCCACGCAATGTGACTTTCGTATCTGTCCGGTGCATGACGCCATGGCAGACAAGTCCTCGTTCGAGCTTGTGGTTGTTGTATTGACCGCCACAGCACATCGAGCTAACGTTCAACGAGCTCTGCTACTGCAAACCTGCATTCTTCAGAAGATGGATCCGCTTTTGAGCCTCCGCTGCTAATCGCTGCGCTGTCGGCTCGTCTTGCAGCCGCGATGGCTTGAAGGTGAAGAACTGGTCTCCTTGATCCGAAGTTTCTTCGAAGCCGCACCAACTCATGAAAGAGTTGGCTACGTCGCTGACGAGGACACCAACAGTTGATGCAAAAAACTTGTTGCTGGCGCGAATACGCTGGAACTTGGCTTCTTCTGGCTGTTGCGCAATGTTACCTAGGTATCGTAACGCTGAACAGTCCAAGGTGAGCTACAAACGTCCGCATTCGTGCGAATCGTTCGTACCTGCAGAAATCGCGTTCAAGCGAGTTGAATGCTCCTCGGAGGATAGGATATCCAGAAGGTCTTGGATCAGTTTGCCTGATGCAGAGAATAGCAGAGTGGTTGATGTGTAACATTCGGTTACAACGACAACAAAGTACTCCAGTACCTTCACGCGCTTTGAGCGGAGACTCTGGAAGCACAAACGCACAAGCGTCAGACAGGTGATCTCCGATCCTGAAGGAGATGAAGCGGATCTCGCTATCGGCAGACGCAGGTACAATGAAGCTATCTCCTCCTTTCCCTCCGCATGTCACTGAGCGTCCAAAGTTAGTGTGCAGCGTCATGCGATCGACCCAAGCACCCTTCCGACCACCAACTCGTATGATGCTCTCGTCCGGCAGCAGGTCAAGGCTGGCTGTCGGTTGTGACGATCGACGTTTCGCAGAGGAGTTTCCCACCAAAGTGCCAAAGACGGTGGCCGGAGAACCAGAAGCAACAGTTGCGCTGTCTTCTTGTACGATCTTTTCGTAAACAAATTGAAGGCCGTCAAAAAAGTCATCTCCCCACACTTTGTGGCAGCAACAAGACAATCACAGTTGGTCAGAACGAGTGCATACACACTACAAGCATCGCACTCAGCAAATGACATTGACACGGCCGTACTCAAGATCTTTGCGATACGGTACTCTGATCCAGCGCCAGCTGCAGCTTCAAGACATGTCTCGCCAGGGCGTTCTCCATCGGCCCCATATGCCTTCAAAGGAGTAGCAGGTACATACATCTTCATTCCAGTGCAGAAAGTTTCAGCCTCCTGCAAGGTCTTCACAGGTATCATTGCGACATGGCTGGTTACAGTAACAACGCTTGGACACGTGCTGGTAGGCCCCTGGATACACACATCATTTGTGCTCAACCCACATGCCCCTTCCAGCACCAGTGTTTCCGTTCCGTTGATATATAACGCGACAGCATTTTCGACTCGAGCTATAGAGATATGCGCGTACCCACCCACAATTGACAACGATGTGGGAGGCACAGTCGTTTCCACTAATTTGTTGTGACATTGAAGCTCACAAAAAAACCGCCGCTCAAGAAACTTCCAGTGCATACGAAACTCGATGGAGGAGGAGGATTCGGGCAATCCTACTCGACCAGCCAAGACGTTCACCGTGTCCGACTCTACAACGCCCCGTGACTTATTTGGATCGAAGCGAACAAGGAGTGACAGCATAAAGTTCGTACGACAAGTCAGACTCGGTCCCTGAACGGATAACTGCTTACCCCCGATAAGCTGCATGCCATATGCGTTGTCATCCCTTTGGCCTTGAGCCTCATTACATGTGTCAAGTATCTGGTTCGGTCTCTGAATCCGGAACGGCTTACGCAACGCACAGTGCTGCGTATTGTTCGCATGATTACCGTTGCCCGAGATGTCAATTAGATGCATGCTTCCATCAGTACATGTCATGGGAAAATCTTGCAGCGGCAAATACAGCAGCGGTTGATTCTTCCACAAAAACTGACGCAGCTCTGTCGATTTCGATGGACACAAGACCATCATCAGACTTGCTGGCGAAAACCCCATTGAGCTTAACGTTGTCACAATCTGGATAGCTTGCGCAGCCCGCTCATTTGCGTCAGACGGCACATCCGGATAACTCAATCGTGCCCGGCCAGTGAAGCAAAACGGGTTTGCGCATTCCGCGAAGTGGCAGCCGACCACCAGGTTTTTGCAAACACTTTGCATGATCTCTGCAAGCGGTACAGTAGTCGACACCTTCGCTGTAGATGGCTCATTGTCGATTAGTTCTTCTTCTTGCTTTCCAGCTTCGTTGCGCTGATCTTTCCACTCGGCCGATCCCGAAACACGGCCCTTTACTTCAGTCTTTTGTACGAAGCGACCACGGAGAAGTTCTTCGCGCTCGCTTTCGGCACGCGACGTCAAAATGACTTCTCGTTCAGGACTTTGCCGTTCCCGTAGGCTGTGGTTCAGTTGACTGATTGTCTTGATCAGCCATTCTTCGCTTACGTCTTGACGCCTGGTAAGAGTGTCAGACCATTTGCAGGTGTATCGCCTAGTCGTGTCGACCACTTCGTCATGACCGAACGAAAAAATGTACGACAACTTCTTACCCCATCCGACCTCATACGTCAAAGGGCAGTCAAGCTGGTCTTCGCATGAGTCGCAGTGCAGCCAGCGCTTATAGTGCTCGGAGTATACCTCAGTCCACACGTGGTCCGTCACATCAAGGACGTATCGAGCCTCGAATCCCATCGCGCGGCAGCATAGCGTAAAACAGTTTGCCCATTCTCCACATCGGCCAGTGCGTGTGTCTAGCAACTTCACTGGATCATTGTAGCGAGGAAATCGAGTAAAAGCACCACACGCAAGGCACTGGTACACTTCGACACGGCCGGCCTGGCCAGCGATCTCTTCAGCAGTGCTAGGGCCCTCTATCCGCACCGATCTCGTTCTCTCGTTATTACAGACAGAACAACGAGGTTGATTCATCCATGTGAAAAACTCGTGCTTAAACCAGTGCAATAACTGCTTGACCAATTCGTCCTGAGCGTGTGGCAATGGTGACGGGTTGGCTCGTGCACGTTCCTGGAGCTCGTCCACTGGAATGCGCTTGAGGGCCTCCAGCTGCATCGCTCGACTTTCGTATGACTGTGCACGTTGCAGTCCACTTTGCAGTCGCTCCAACATTCCCGGTTCCCGTTGGCGATAGTGCTCCTTCAGAACTAGCGCATCTCCATGCTTTCGCTCGGTCGCCAGCGCAAGTCGCGGGACGTTCAACCGCTGTTCATCCAGATCCAGTATGCTGCTCACTCCAGTCAAATGGCGGGATGCAAAAAGGCACTCGCCAAAGTCGCTGTGCTCTCTGCCTGAATCACATACAAATCCTCCCAGAGCTGCCAAGCGATAGTACAGGAAAACGGGTAGAGAGCCCGCCACGCCTTCGTTCAGATTTCGAGTAACCTTGACGTACGAAGGTGACGGCGCGGGTTGATCACCAACGACAACAGCAATGTCAGTGATAGCGAGCGTCTCCAACTGCTCCATATTGCCAACAAGTTGCACCGAGTCATAGCCAATGCGAATGGTCGGTCCAATCCCATCGCCTGTAGTGCCGCCACATGAACGATCAACCTCGACCACTCGTTCTGGTGTGCACGCAATCGACTCGTCAGCAGTAGCGGCAACATCTTGAGCGCCCTGTGGCTCCAGTAACACGTGAATCTGCGTCAAGGCCAGCGGTCCTCCACGCTGCACACACAGATACACATAGTCGCCTGACGCCGAGTAGTTCAGCTCCACCGGCAGCTTTTCGTATCCAGACGGTGCAGCCATATCGATGGCTCCTGCAACAAGAGTGACGTCGGAGATAAACCGTGACGTCAATGTCCGTGACGCGTTCCACTCGATCGGACTCACTCGCTGGAAACCTGCACTCAGAACAGCCAGCAGTTTCTACGTCAGCACCAAATGACCTCTGTCTCTGCATTAGCTACTACCACGATCTTCCAGTCACCTGTCGTGCATGTCCTGGCACAGGGTTCACAAATGAGAGTGGCGAGCACGTCGTCTCTGCTCTGTGGGACAACGGCCCGGAAAGCCGGTTGCACCACAGCCGCGTCTCCGAACGTGCTCTTGGTGCAAATCTGTTGCCAGTCGTCTGCGAGCTCGGGCACTTCCAATGAGCCAGAGTGAGTGCCCGAGTAGAGGAAAAAGCGCGACCGTCTCTCGGTCGACACTGGGATCGCCGTCACGTCGCTCTTGTTGGGACCGTATAGCACATGTCCCGTGCAGGAGCACACGAGGAGCTGCTCGTCTGGCAGTACGCCCACAAGCGACAGGAGCTGGCACTGCAGTAACTCGACCGGCAGCGTCTTTTGATTGGACGTACTGGGCGTCGGCACGTAGAATCTGCGAATACGAGAAGGGATCGACCGATTGATCGCATTAGTACACACGCAACTACTGGTTGTTGTGAATGGGTACTTAGTTACCCCAAGCTAAGACTATCAGAGATGGCTGCGAAACGGAGACGGGTGTACGCACTCTTGTCGCTGGTAGACGACGACAATGTCGGTCGACGGTGTCGCTGGCATTGGCGTTCGCTCTCTCTGGGAGTAGAAGGAACGCCGAAGAGACCGACACGCGCGTTTGTGTCGTAGAGCAAAAGGTCGTTGGATTGACTCGCACTGAGATAAGCAGAAGGGTAGAAAACGCTTGTGAAGCAAACGGTTGTTTGATTAATTTGCAATCAAACCGACAGAAGGGTCGAAACCGCTTGTGGAGCAAACGGTTGTTTGATTGGCGATCGAACACGTCTGAGTCGAACGGAAACAGAATTGATTGACCTTCACTCTTGGATTCCGCACTAGTCGCGCGCACAGCGTTACAAAGCGTCGACGGCATTGAAGTACGGGAAAGGGCCGCCCAGCAGCTTGTTACGAGTCCCGAGAGTACGGCAAGAGGCGTAACGCTCAGTGCAGGAGCGACTGCAGACTCGAGAGAGCGGTCCGACATCGTTCGGGCGGAGAATGAGGACGAGGCGTGCAGAGAGAGAGAGAGCATCAGTTGGTAAGGGACAAGTGAAAGCGTTGTGGAGTGAGAGGGAAACTGTGTCGAGTGTACGGACAGGAGGTGCGATACCGCTGGAAATCGAGCGATGAGGCGTTGTAGGCGGAGCGCTTTCGCAGGCGATTGGACGGTGTCGACGTTTGGATTTGAGCTGACGAGTGGAGTGGGCAGATGTTTGCCGTGAGGACCGGAGGTGGGTACAAACAGAGTGGCGGAAGTCGCGTGATGAGCAGGAAGAGGAGACGTGTGGCACTGGGAGGGAGTTGATGATGGGGTGTGGGAACCGCTTTGCAAGCGGCGCTGTTTTTGGTGCGAATGGCTGCGAAAGCAATTGGCTTTTCGCTGCGCAGCGCACGATGTGGACGGGAGCCGGGAATGGCATTGCACTGGATGGAGTCATGCCAGAGACAGCGTTTGCTGTGTTGATGAAGAAGACGCAGAAAGGGGAGCACAAGGCGCCAAGATTGACGTTTACAATTGTCGACTGGCGATGGATTGGATGCCGGTGATGCACGTTTTTATCAAGTCCGAGATGAGCATGTAACGGACGTCTTTGTCCAAAGCAAAAGCAAAAATAATCGATGGGAGAGGAGCGGGTGGAAGATCGAGCCGGAGGTTGCATGAGGCGGCAAAATGAGTGCGCTACTTGGGGGTGTAATCTCAGCTTGGCCAATGAATGGGATGATCGTGAGCGTGTGACCCTACGATTCTACAAGTGAAGTGCAGAACAGAGCGACAGAGCTTGACTTCAGCATTTGTCGGTTGACGACAGGGATCTCAGCTTTAGGACATCTTGACGATGTGTATCGGGAGATGTATAATGCAACCCAAGGGCAACGACCGTGGCATCATCGAGACGAACGAAAGATAAGCGCATTCTTTCGTGATTGACGCGAGCATGAGTTGCAGGAATCCGAAACAAAGCGCAACTGCACTTGTGGTGTTCTCACACTTGCGCAGGCGACAAAGCTACTGGTGTGAAACAGAAACAAAAAGGGATGAGAACGCTTGCGAAGTACGAAGTATCGCTGCTGGCTAATGCTTAGAGAGCTGTTGTTGAAGCGTCAAAACCCAGTGGTGATCTGGACTCAGTCTACCACAGAAGGAAGAGCAAGTCACGTGGAAATATTCAGCGCTTGTTAGAGCAGTGGGAAATGAGACAGGAGCAGGACGCAGGCTACACAGACGATATGTTGATCTCCGGTTTGTTGGCAGTTCTTTTGCAACGTGCCAAATGCGCTTCTGATGCTCGACTTGCTTGCAGAGTAATGCGGACTCGACAGGAAAAGAGGACTGCTCGAGCAAGTTCGCGCAGGCCATGATGTGCGCACGCGGATACAAAGAATAGGCTAGCAGCAAAGCAGCTTTGATCTTGTTTTGGGTCCAGACTTGCCGATGAAAGCGTGGCAGACTCAGCTTCGACTTTATGCGACGGATGACCCGACAGCGTGGGGCCCTGCCAGGACGAGCAGCTAGGAGAAAAGCTCACGAGAGCAAGAAGATGCGTACGGTGCTTTTTCGCTGATTCAGCAGCACATGACGTGCAGCACGCAAGCTCGGACGCCAGGCGCGTATCGTTTCATCACGAAAGACAACATATCATACTCGGACAACACTTCGTGCTCACTTAAAGTAGTCACGCCACTCGAACGAAGAAACCAGACACAACGCAGGACTGGCGATCATGACACGGGGTCATGCTTGGGGCAACCCACAAACTTGCAACTATCTCCGCACGTACACTCTCCTCCAGAGGCCATACCACAACCCGGTACGGCCCAGCCAACAGCTAGTGCCGCGGTGTGGGCTACAGTCGTCATATATGTCGGACAACCAAATTGCGGGCAAATACGCATATCACACTTGTGCGTCTCAGGGTACGCTGTAGTGGCAGCGTTCGCATGATTTGACGATCCAGGTGGCGGCGGCACCGCTTCCACCGGTATTCGCCAAGCTTCTTCCGCCAGCTCAAGCATGTCAAAACCTGCACGGCGGGCAGCCTCCACAAGCGGAGTTGAGTCCTGCAGCATCGCTACCACCAACACTTCAATGCGATCTGTGAGCAGCACGAGATTCTCGACGCCTTCCACGGCTATCAGTGTTTCTTCGAGCTTGACGCCGTTTAGCCCCACATCGCTCAGATCGTCCACACGGAAACGAAATCGCCGAGGAAGTAGAGTTTCTGCATCGACTTTCGAGTCGAAACCAATGTCCATGACAGCCGCACAGAGGGCATCGACGCTCATGTCACCGCGTACGACAACTTGGCGATGCTCAAAGCGGAGTCGTGCAGCTTCCACCCTGTCCACTACCCGCACGGCGTTAAGTATCGACGTACCGCAGTTTGCAGGACACATCATATCGGGGACTCGTAGTACCACTTCCTTGCGCGTCCAGGCCGTTGACGTTTGCTCAACCACGACGATCTCCGCAAGCTGGAGGCTCTGTACGACTGCCGGAAAGCTTTCCGTGTCCAGCGACTCGTCTCCGCGCACGACTACAAGCCATGACGATGGAGTTGGCTCCGAGCCAGAATCAGGCACTGTTGTTTCACTCTTTGACGCACATCCGTCGGAACGAGGTAGCGTGGAGCTGTCTGTGACCACGTGCACACTCCTGATTCCTGACATCGCCGCCAACATGGCGACAATTGTCTGGATGCTTATCAAGCTCGAACGCGGCCTGATCCGAAGCACAACGCGCGGGACCATAGTGGCCCTCGGCGATGAGGCATGAGGCATCGATGCAAACTCGCTAGCGTTGGGACTTTGTGTCTGGCTGGCGGGAGAGGCAACGGCTGGGATCGTGTTGCTACTCGTTAGCACTGGAACTGTTCGAGACGTACATGGCGACGTCGGAGCGTTGCATGAGCACGTTGCAGCACAGTTGCAGTCTCCGCCGTAACTACGCGCACAACCATTATTCAAGCAACCAGCGACCCGCGAGCCGTCGCACCGAGAGTTTGCTGGGTGTGGAGGCGGCGGCCGAAACGATGCAAGCACATGTGCATTCTGGCGCTCTGGAGTCAGCGCCGCACTGTCTCGTGGACTATCGCTCGATTGATCGCTATTCGAAGAGTGCTCGTGTTCGACCTGCGTGTGTCCGACGCCTCTCTGCTTTTGACCCGCCGAACACGTCGCACACATCGTGCCGGTATCATTGGGAGAGCGCACCAGTCTTCTACAGCTCAGGACAGAGCAAACACGCGCCCCGCCGTGCTCCGAGCAGAATCCCGTGACGCCTCGAGCCGGTTGCTGACAGCCCCTTCGTCGACATCGTCTCGCGCCGCCGTGAGCTCGGCACCTACCTCCTCCCTGGTCAATCTTGGTGCATCCTGGCTCCGAACAGCGCCTGCCGCCGCCATGCGTTGTGCAGAACCCTCCGCCAACGTCAGCTTTCGGACATCCCGCGATCTGGCAGCGTTTGCCGCCGCCATGAGCTCGACACAGTCCCCTGCCAGCGTCCACTTTTCCGCACCCAATCACCTGACAGCGTGCACCGCCTCCGTGTTTTCGGCAAAAGCCGCCGGTCTGGTACCCTTTTGTGCAGCCCGGGAACGAGCACTTTTTGCCGCCTCCGTGGGCAACGCAAAAGCCGCCACCCGCGTCCACTTTTCTGCAGTCGGGATGGGAACATTGGCGTCGCATGCGCTTCCTGCTGGCAGCACTCGGCGGAGAAGACGCAGAAGAAGATGGCGGCGGAGTTGGTGGCACCGGAGATGCAGGTACTGTAGCCATCAAGCGGCTGTTGTCTCCAGTGCTTGCCGCTCGTCTTGGTCGCATTTATCTGCAGTCAGTGTGGCACGCGTATTGTGCAGCACGACCGGATCTCGGCTTAAGTACGAAACCGCGAGGCAAGTGGACGGTTTTACGGTACGATAAGGTTAGAACACCTGCGCGTTGTCCAGTCAATAATTGTCTGTCTCCGACGTGCGAAAGTCCTGCCCAGTCTCAGCAAGTGCGACAAAGCGCCGCGTCCACTGGTTTCGTTTGGGTGACTTAACATCCCTTCCGTCGAGACACAGTGCTGACTACTGCAAGTTGCTTTCCACCATCCCGAGGCGAACGCCATCTTGCGTTTCTTTGGCTGCAGTGGCAAACATCGCATCGATAGTGTCCGAGTCAGGCAGTTTCTCCAGCACAAAGCGGTGTCGCAGCAAGTGCACCTTCGTCGAGGTGGAGACGGAAGTTCCAGTTCTCGAGCTCGCGGATCGTGGCGTCCATCTGCTTCCCGCTCAGTTGCATCAGCTCTAGCGGCACACACACACACATGTTGTTACAACAATCGGTCGCGTCCAGATACAACGCCCTCGACTCGGCCACATCAGTCAGTCAACCGACCGACGAACGGGTCCACGCACCATTCAACTCGCGGTCGCAAACCCCTACGGCACGTTTTTGATGGGTCAAGAACTTCAGCAGCGATCGCAGCTCTTTCGTCAACGCACCTGTTGGCAACACCGTCTACCAGCAAAAGCAGCAGCAGTCGTAGCCGTCAGTACCATTGGGCTGTGCACCTTTCCGTCGAAAGCCGTCCGCCCATCACTGGTCTTTGGCCTATCTGCCTCACCTCTGGTAAGAAGTCTGACATGTGTGACAGACGACGGACCCGTCGTCGGCGTCGGCGGTCTTTGGTTGTGCCGTTGTACACAGCGCACCCCACGTCGACTGTTCATTCGCTAAAACTCAGTGCGACCCGTGACGATAAGTACGAATCATATCTCGAGCGCAATGCTGCGACTGCGACTGCTGCGACGCCCCACAGCAGCGCGTCGCGCGCGCGTCCTCTCGGCCGCGTCCGTGTACACGGATCAACGCGCACCTCTGTTCTCGTTCCTGAAGCCGTCGCAGGCGCTGGTGAAGTCGCACACGGAGACGCGCGTTGTGCCCTTTTCGTGCGCCGAAATGTTCGACGTGGTGGCCGACGTCGAGCGCTACAGCGACTTTTTGCCCTTTTGCGTCGAGTCGCGCGTCCTGCGGAGACCAAACGATAACGTTATGGAGGCGGCGCTGCGTGTGGGGTTCAACATCTTCACCGAGTCGTACACGTCCCGCGTTCTCATGATCCGGTGCGTCGATGTGGACACACGAGAAGAGGACGAACAGCTGCGTTAGTAGTAGTAGTATTAGTAGCAGTAGCAGCTGCTGTTGCATTGGTGCAGTGGCTGTCGCTGCAATGTTCGGAGCGTGAGTTGATTGTCGTGTTGGCTACTGACTGCATCGTGTTGTGTGTTATTGCTAGACCCAATAAGATTGCAACGAAAGCAATCGACTCGCCGACGTTCAAGCGGATCGAGAGGTGTGTGCTGGTGTTTAGTTGTCGGGCGGAGCGTCTTTTGGCGGCTATGTTTAGTCACTGACGGGCGGATGGGTTGTGTTTCGTGCTGAATATAGTGAGTGGATGTTCAAGCCGTGCAGCACGCCTGGAAGCTGCGAGGTCGCCTTTAGGGTGACATTCGAGGTGTCGTCGTTCCTGCACGCGAACGCCATCCAGCTGTTTTTCGATGATGTTGCCCTCACTCAGCTGAATGCGTTCATTGGTCGTGCGCGGAAGACGTATGGGTCAAAGCCGCGGCCGATTCCTCAGACACCTGCAAAGGAAGAATCGACTCCACTGACGACACAGTCTGCAGCAAAGAACTCAGCAACCAATGCGACTGGCTCGACTGATTCGACCTTATCAGGCAATGATGAGCAATCGTCGGTACAGGAGACAGAAGCTATGGTATCGCGCCGCACGAAAGGTGGTATTTCCTCACAAACTTATAGAGATTTAGGTGATGTGTTTGACGATTACGCCGACAAGAACGGCAAACTGTACTACGGTGGGTTCATGGCAGCTTGTATGGCACTCAGTGACGAATACGAAGATATGAAGGACGTCAGTGAAAGTGCTACGCTAGCGGGGGCAGTGTTTTCCAGCTTTGAGACACACACGACGCCGAAGGATTGGCTCACGCTGGATGAGTTCGTCGTTGGCGTGTACCTGATGACGAAAGGCACGTTTGAGCAAAAAGCCCACAGCCTTTTCGAGATTGTGAATGCAACGGGCAATGGTAAAATCACGCGCGAGGAGCTCACGCTTGCCATGCAACGCCGCATTCGTGCCGTGAAGAAGCTGTTTCCCAAGCTGCTTCGCGACCAAGTGCAGATTCAAATGGGGAACGGGCAGAGCGAAGAGCTATCGTCGATTCAAGATGCCGCCGTGGCGAACGGCGTCAAGGCTATTGAGGAGTTGATGGAGACGGTCGAGAAGGACATCCCTCTTGCCGTGAATCAGATCTTTCGCGAAGCTGACCTCGACCAGGACGACTACATCCGCGAGGAAGAGTGGATGTTTGCGTGGCAGGCGCACCCGGAGTTTGTGGAGTTGTTGACCATTGACGGTATGAAGAAAATGGCACAATGGGCTTCGGTCGTTCAAGAGGCCAGCATCAAGGGTGACCACAATGATGATGACAAGACGAAGCCTTCTGGTCAGAGTCTAGACACGAGGCTTATGCATGTGGACTGAATCAGAGCATATGGATGTGCGTCCGTATACTCGATAGTGTAGACGTACTTGTGGACGCTGGTGACACTGGCAGTGGCAAGACAGGACGTGCGAAGACAAAGGAGGAACAAGAAGGACAGGTAAACGCAGTTCTACATGCGCGTAGCTGCTCTGGAGCATACGTGGCGCCAAACTATCAGTTGAATAAAGCACAGTGGCGCGCCATCCGCTCATATAAGCGTAGTAATGGAAGTAGATGCACACAATATGCCTCTCTGCTGATGGTATTTTAGGTCTGCATAGCACACAAAAAGGAAAAGCTACTGCAACGCTCGCGGCTGTATTAAATGCCCTTCAGTGGATGTATCAGAGAGGAACGTATACAATCGGCTGCAATCCACGCTAACATGGGGCTTCGTCCACCTTTTTCCACAGGTAAAGTACACGCGCACTGTGGCAAAGTAGCAGGCTTGTGTTTATTCTAACGAAGAGGGGCGTGAGTCGTGCTTCGAACGTTCTCGCGTGTGCACCACATCATCTTGGTACTTGCAAGTCATCTTGCAAATAGTCATTGCCTAGCCTAGGATCTATCTCGCTGCGACCCATGCGCCGCGGGAAACATCCACGCAGCTGTTTCATACCGGTACAGCAAAATCGATACCGGGTGTGGCAAAACCTTGAACCAGGACGTGCCGGCTTTTTCCACTTGTGCGCCGTCGAGTGGGATGCGCTCGTCGTCCGCATTGGAAAAGCCTCCACGGGTTGTTTTCTACTCGTCCCACAATAACAAGTGTGCGCAGGATGGGACATCTATCTTAGCAGTAATGCTTCGGTAAGCGCGTGTCAAATGAATTCCATTCTACATCCAGTTCTTTGCGTCTACGATTCGACAGACTCGCGTCGTCGACCGTTCACTTGCCGCGTGCATTTTGTCATGTAACCGAACAATGTCCGCTGTGCTCCCGCATAGTGACAAAAACCTCCAACCAGCTGATGTATCGGGTGAGCAATGGCATATGTCGATGCGCTATGTCGATGGTACCAACAGATAGTCTACGGATGTAGCGGTGGCTCCTATGGGATAAAGCGTTCGATACAGAGAAAGACGAGCAAACGTTGAGGTGACCCACTCGTGATGTGCAGGATCTTAGGTATCTCCACCTGACGAACACGATGGCGGTACGTTCGGCAGCACTTCTCGATCGAGCCGACTTGTGCGACCGTCGCAGCAATATCGTGTGGTGTCCTGACGCTACCAGCGTTTGTGCCTCCTTTTTCACGAGTCCGTGCACTGTGTGTCGGCTGTATGGTCGTATCGACAAAGGGGCTACGACGCGACGCTGTGATTCTTCTTCTTCGGAACCAACTGCGTCTGCCGATCCTCGTCCCTTTGTGGTCGCTCTTCTCCTGTACGATCGTTGGCGCGGCATTCCGCAGCAAGTGCAGCATCGGAGACACAAAGCCGACACGACGTGGCGTTCTCGTGGAAACGATCTGCTGCAGCCAATTTTTCGGCAGCAGAGACGTGTGTGTGCTCGGTAGCAGCCGGTTGCGCTTATCCCAGCGATGAGGCAAAGCAAAGACTCGGAGCCTGACGCAGGGCACAACGCTCGAGATGGGTTAAGCACGAAGACACGAAGACACGAACGGCCGCGATCGACGACGTTCTGGACGGAGCGCGGCAGCAGTCGGTCTGCTGTCCTGTTCGTTCGAGCTCAGGACTCCTATCGTTCATTTCCCAATTCCCCGTTCCCAGTTCCCAAGTCCGAAGGGTCTTACGCACACCACCCGTTCACCTGTCGAGATGCACGTCCCCCGTCTCCTCTTCGGTTTCATGGCCGCCGTCACGGGCGCTTCCGCTGCAAAGTCGCCAATGCAGGAGGAGCCCGCGACGCAACCGATTCTGTTTGTCGGGTCGTTCACACGCGACGAAGGCTGGGTGAACGGCACGAGCAAGGGCGTCCACACGTTCAAACTCGACATGACCGATGGTTCGCTCACGCCGTGGGCAGTCACGCCGGTTGGGATCAACCCTATCTACGTCCAGGGCTCGACGAAGACGTTCAGCACGGGCCAGCGCACGATCTACGCCGTGAACTCGGTGAGCGACAAGGTGCCGACTAAACCCGGTGCGGTCACGGGCTACGTCTCGGCTCTCACGCTGAACAACGACGGCACGCTCAAGGTCCTCAACACACTCGCGACGGGCGGCGGGTCGACCACACACGTCTCGCTGAGCCCGAACGAGGACTTTGTCGTCGTGTCCAACTACGACGGAAGTCTCGCGATGTTCCCAATCAACGCGGACGGTTCGCTCGGCGACATGACGTTCTACCAGGAGTACCTGCAAGGCAGCAACGTTGTCAAGGAGAGACAAGCGGCTGGCCACATCCACAGCTCCATGTGGCTGCCGAACTCGAGCCGCGTCGTTGTTGCCAACTTGGGCAGCGACGAGCTGCTGCAGTACAATCTGGACGCGAAGAAGCAGACGCTCGAGACGCTCGAGGCGGTGAAGCGCCCTGGCGGAGCTGGCCCGCGGCACGCGGCACTTAGCGCAGATGGGAAGATTGCGTACGTCGTGGACGAACTCTCGAACACGGTCGGCGTCTACGAAGTCAACCAAAGTGGCACCGTGCTGTCGGCAAAGTCGTTGCAGGACATTACGACGCTGCCGTCGGACTACACGGAACCGAGTACGAGCGCTGACATCCACTTGTCTAGCGACGGCCAGTTCGTGTACACGTCGAACCGCGGCCACGACTCCATTGCGATGTTCAAGATCGACAAGGCGAGTGGCAAGTTGGTATCGCTTGGCTGGGAGAGCACTCGCGGTAAAGTTCCTCGAGGCTTCACGGTGTACGGCAAGTGGCTCATTGTGGCGAACCAGAACTCGAACGACATGTTTGTGTTCGAGGTGGACAGCAAGACGGGTTTGCTGTCGTTCACGGGCCACTCGTATCAGATTGACACGGCCGTCTGTCTCTACATCGCCGAGTATTAGCCTTGGCACGCACTACTCGACCACTGAAGGGCTCAACAGTATCTGGGGAAGCTGTAGCAGAGCTATCGTACCAATTGTTCGCTTGAGGTGCTTATGCTAAGTGCAATAACTCATTATCGGATGAATAACTACACGTGTGATGCTTTGATGATGACATGTGCTGATGCTTTTGCTAATGTTAGTACTGAGCGCTCGCGATCTTATCGCCTTGCAGTCCTAAACATGCTGTGTCTATCGTCACTGGTTGTAGCATAGTCAATGTCAGCGGGATGGCTGGTTTCGAGATTCTCCTACTTAGTAGGACGATAACAGCACAAGTACTCCATGAGGTAGACCTATTACAGGAAGTATCCTGTTACTGACTGCACCACCTGCCGTACTTTTCGACATTCTACACGCAAATCGATTGTTTGCGTGCACTGTTCGGCAGACTCGCAACGTTGACCGGCACTTACCGAGCGCAAATGTAAAGCTACCTCGTGACGGTAGCTGCGCTCGCACATAGTGACCGTTCTGCGTGATTCGAAAGCTTCAAACGCAGCCAATGGACATATCGAGCGAGCAGTGGGTAAGTCCATGTACCATTCCGTTCGTACAGCTGCTACAACTGCGGAAGAGAAGGACGATAGCTCGGAGAGTCTGCTTCGTTCGCCGACCGATACTCCTTGATACGAGGAGTCGATACATCCGCTGGAATGAAAGTTTGAATCCGGGAGCCTTTGTGAGGCTTACACACTGGTGGGCCGAAGAGCAAAGCAATTGGTGAGTGTGCGAAAGGCAAAGGTCGGATTTCCCCCTGTCAACTTTTGTGCACACGTGCGTCTATCTGTCTCGCGAAGACACAGTATGGATCAAGTACGGATCACCATCACGAGATAAATTAGTTGTACGGCGGTACAACTCCCAGCAGTTGCAGTCCAACAAGCCACGACTCTACCAGCGGTAGTCAGCATGGGAAAGTAGAAGACTGAGCTATCAGTATACACACCTGAGTTTGCAAGGACGCCAACGAGTAAACAAAGACACCTGAACAGGAACCTGGCACAGAGCTTCCGCCTTAGGCGCACCTCTTATTTGAGCTTTGACCACTATATTTGCTCGTCGAGAAGATGTAGCAGCAGGTGAGTGGATTTGCCTGATTGGGACAGTCCACACGCTGATGCGTCGCCCAAAGAGCATTACTTTTCTCAACGTCCCTGTGCGATGTGGCACATCTGTGAGCTCAGTGCGCAGCGAATATCGGGTATCCGCGGCAAGGACCACGCTTCTTTCAAGCTACAGTGGATGTGTCGCTTTCAAAGCAAGCATTCATAAAGAACTCATGATACGGTAAATGCGTTGTGGTTCAAGGTAGCAACTTCTGTAGAAACTCACACTTCATATTTGCTGAAATCTTGCCTCCTCCAGCCCCTTCCTTGACAATGTATTCTGCAAACGATGCTCGCCGATAACGATTAATCATGGATGCTTCGGCTGGTCCTGTTGCTGCAGCTCTGTCACAAAGAGCTTCTCTTGATCAGTATGATGCCACTATGGCAGGTTCACTGCATCAGCAATCACGTTGTCGTGAATCCGTGCAAAGGCTCTATTCACATCGGAATGCGCAAGTACAATCAGAATCGTTGGTCCGTTTGCCGCACACTGTGGCCCATCCCTGACAGCAAATACGCCGTATGTGTCTAGCATGTCGTCGAACGGGCTTTGTTACTGCCGTTGCACAGACGAGATCCGAGTCATCGCTCATTTCTATAACCTTTTCTCCAACACATCAACGACAACCATCCGTTTGCTTCATCGTGCAATGACAGCCACGGCAAAGCTCTGGTTATTGCACCCCAACACGCACTCCTACCACCTGACTGCCAACCCATACCATTCGAAATACTTGCGTGATGATCCGTTCCTTGCTTCGGGTTTCTGGTCCGCCGAGATTCAGTGTGGACCCACGGCAATGCCGTCCAGATTGAGCCACGCTTTCTTGTACTACCCTCGATCATGGAGTACAAACACTTTCCAGATGTGTAGTGGCGTAGCCAGCGTCGTTCCAGTAAACCGATGTGCCCAGCGATAACCTGGTCTGGCTCGATTCCAGGAAGTGTACATTGCCTGTTCATTGACTTTGGACACGCAAAGAGATGGTCGTATCCTACTTCTGCGTTGTATCGCGTAAGGTAAGCACTATAAACGCTTTGTCCATGCATACGTTTATCGTTTACCAGCAAATGTCAGCTGATGTCAGACTGATCGCTGCGATGCTGTTGCTCATTCCAGACAAGATAAGCTTCGAGTACAATTGACAATGAGCTTCGCAGCAGACGGCCAGAGCGTATGATTGTCTGTGCTTCTTTGTGATTGCGACCGCACTTCTTCTCAGAACTCTTCCCCGACATCGATGCAGTTTCCTACTTTCACAAATACCACTTACCATGTCACTCAAAGGTCACACACACACATTCCAGGCATGAAGTATATTCAGCAGATAGCAAGCAATGTCACCTGCGTGAGGCTACGATGCAACGCCAGTTGGTACGTGTACGAAACTTATCTGCTCGAGCCTATGGAAAGGACCATGGGCTCATGACTGGCCGTGCAAGACGTAGGACTTCAATGGACTGGTAGCCGCTGCTACCTCGTCGTCTACTATTCCCCGACGTAGAGACTCACCACTCCATCGACCTTGTACGGCTTGCCAGTGTGCGTCAGTGCACCCGTCTTGCTGTCCACCTTGAACACATGCATGTCGTCCGATCCCTGGTTCGCCACAATGAGCCAGTCTCCGTAGATCGTAAAGCCTCGAGGCGTCACGCCGCGCGAACTCTCCCAGTCGAGAGCCTTTAGCGTGCCATCTGCATTGACCTTGTACGACACAATCGAGTCGTGGCCGCGGTTCGACACGTAGAGAAACTGTCCGTTGCTCGAGAAGTGAATGTCAGCAGCACTGCTCGTGTTCGTGAAACCCGCTGGCAACGTCGTGACGCTCGCCAACGGTTTGCTCGACAGTAGATTCGACTCCTTGTCGATCGCAAACACACTGACCGTGTTCGACAGCTCGTCCGTGACGTACGCAAACTTCCCGTTCTGGTCGACGACCAAGTGGCGGGGTCCCGACCCTGGATTACAGCGGACAGTCTCCAGGCTCTTCACCGTCTTCTTGGCCGGGCCCACCTCGTACTGAAGCAGCTTATCACTTCCCAAGTCGGCCGCAATGACGCGGTTCGACGTGGGCAGCCACACGGTACTGTGGATGTGACCCGTCGCTTGGGTGTCCTTCACGACATTGCTACCAACCGGGAAGTGCAGATAAAACGTCTCCTTGCCGATAGAACCGTCAGCATTGAGCGGGAACAGCGAGAGACTGCCGACGTAGTTGGCAACGGACAAGAACTTGCCGTTCGAGCTCAGTGCAATGTGGGCAGGGGACGCGCCCTTCATCTCCTGCGTGTTGAGCACCTCCAACTTGCCGTCCGGCTGCAGCGTCATTGCAGACACGTACCCTTTCTCGACGCCGCGATTGAGCACGTAGATGATATGCTCGCCCGACGTCGACGTCTTTTTCGAGCCCTGGACGTACGTCGGGTTCAGTCCCTTGTCCCCGAAAGCGAGTGGAGTGATTCCGTAGGGCGTGAGGGACCCGTCAGCCGTGTTGAGCTTGAACGTGTTGATCCCGTTCGTCGTCTCTTTCGTCCACGTCGCAGCAAAGAGAATCGGCTGCGCGGCGGACTGACCACCACCAGCAGCAGGAGAAGCTTTGCATACCCCAACAGCAGAGAGGAAGAGGAAGAGAGACGGGATGCGCATGATGAGAATGACGATCGGGTTTGGTTCAGTGGTCGAGCGCTCAGGTTGTCGAATGCGTTTGCGTTGCAGTCGCTATCGGTTCTCCAGGAGGTCTGAGCGTCTCCCGCGTCGGTCGGTCGACCGCTCGATCGGAGCGCAACCTGACGGCATCATCCGGAACTGGAGATCGAGTGTAGCGTCGAGCACTGAGCGTGCGATCGACAGCCTCGACGGGCATCAGAACGTTTTCCTGGCGACCGATCGTTCGTCTATCCATATGGAGACCAACGCATGGCAACGCAAAGCTTCGTGCTGCCACACGTCTTGGCACAACCACTTTCTGTCCATGTGTAACACCGCCGCTCCGATGTGTTTTTACACGCTCCTTGTCGTCGGTTGTCAACCCGTATGCTTCGTGCGGACTTCACGGCTTTCGAAACACAATGCGACAAGCGCTCTCCGCGCTTCATCGAACGCATAGCCAAGAGGAGCATTGGAATATTGGACTTGACGACCTGCTGCTGTTTGGAATACACGTTGGGTCAATGGTACCTGAAAGAAGGTCGACGCAGGCTGGAAGCGATCATTGGGTTCGGTAGGTAGTTGTCATGCAGGCAACGAGGATACGAAGGACGCCTCCTGCTTACGGACGTCCATATCGCAGCGTATGTACCGCTGCTGAACACGCACAGTACAGCTGATGAAATGGAATCGTCGCATGTACTTTTAGCACCGTCCCCATAGCCCGTTCTGAAACGAGCAGGTAAACCTCCCTTCCCACATTACAACCTGACAACGCATTGCTCAACTCCGTTCTCTGGGACTCATGTCCAGGTGCCACCGCACTTCCACAGATCTTTCTCTCACTTAAACATTATTCACAACGCGAAGTGGCTCAAATCGTCGCTGGAGTGCTTCGGATTCACAGCTTTGGTTCCCTCGTCGACACGATCCTCACCTCGCTACACGTTATTCGGTTTGACGACATCCTTCTTGCATCACTCAAGTACGTCATAATGCCATCTTCGTGTGTCGCAACATCCATCGTGTGCAAATTGGGTGTTTGTTTATTTGCTTTAGTTTAGAGGTACAGTCGGAACAATTAGTTGTCCTAACGACCTGTTACAGTGCTCTTCGGCTCGAAACGTGCACATCCCGTGCTACTTGCTGCTTGCTGTCTACTGTCGGTTGGACGTAGCTGTTTTGTGGCTGACTGTTCCACGTCTCTAGCCAATATACTACCGTATTGTGGCGGAGTTCGGGAACCATCCACATCCAGACCTTCCACATGCAAACTCGGAGGTGTTACAGACCACGTTGGGTGCGATTCTATCGCCAGTAGTGGTGATAAGCTGCTGCAGATTGTATACAATCCAGCCGTCAGCTCATTGTTGCGAATCGCGAGGTCGTATCGTCGAGTCACCTGTAATCCAGATGGTCAAAGACCTATGGATAGCTGAAGAGCATTCGAACTGGCAATCAAGTAGTTGAGACGGGTAGTATACATGCACGACGGTTGTCTGAATGGAGGATCTATGCGCTCACGTAGATATAGACTGATTGGTCTGTGCTTACAACGGCATTGTTTCTGCATTGCTCGATGACTACGACCACCAGGATGACCCGCTGCATGAATATAATAAATATACACATGTACTGGCATGTATGTTCGCTTTCCTCAATATTTCTCACTTTCAACAACAGCAAGCATGTAGGTTCCCGAATAAAAAAACAATGAGACAAAATTTGATATTTTTATATAATATTGGCAGTAAACGACTACAAATAACATTTTCGATAATTTTGGTTTGGCTGTCATTCAACGAAGTACCAAATTCATTCTGGACGCTCGAAATGAGAGTGATCTTACAGAGTCGGTCATTGTTCGATAAAATGAAGTGAGAGGTTGACATAGGATCATATCGTAGTAGGGAAACTACAGCTCCTTCGCTAGAGGCAGGCTTTTAGCTCAACAAATTACTTCGATTTTTTCACGAAGACGACTCAACGAGTCTTCTTAGCTTACGGAGCTTCTATTCCTGTTTCAAGGGACTTCTGTTATTTAGAGAATGAACAGCACAATTTGCGAAAAAGTTTATGTCATAACAAGGCTTCACACAGTTTTGTGATGAAAGACGATTTGTCAAGGCACGTATATGGTACATGATGTACACGCGAACTTTATGACGCAAGGATTAAATCTGCGTGCCATGAAAACAAAAATGAGTGAGAAGGTGAGGAATATTTAGGTACGCGTAAATATACCTCACCTTCTCACTCATTTTTGTTTGGACCTGCTACTATGATCTTTCGCACAGCAACCCAGTTACAGTGGCGAACACTACTTTGTATACTAGGAAGTACTAGTCCTCGGACCGCAGAGCGCCGGCGCGCAGATTCTTGTCGCGAGATGACCAGGTTCCTCGGTTTTAGCACGAGTCCCTGTATTACTTTATTTTCGGCTTGAGAGGCACCTAGTAAGTGACTGACATCATTGTCGAAGAAGGTCGTAGCCTCCTTGACAGCGTTGTGGTAGGAAATAGCGTGCAATTGATTCGAAGATCCATTGTCCATATCGATATGCGAGTCAATTCGCCATTTTATGTAGGTGCGATAATGATTGCCCCAGCTGGAGACATCGATATCGCTTGCCATGGCACGAGACTCGCTAAATAGCCGCACCAAGCGTTTCGTGCGTGGAGGATGTCGCATTTCAAGCTGCAAAAGCACTAGAGCACTATCTACAAATGCCATGCAGAGGTGAATGGTCACTTGCTTTCGCTTGGAGAAGAACGTGAACGAGCCCACAGTATTCAGCAGAAATGTTAGCTGCATCTGCAGAGCCACTAGTCATGCTCGAAACGCACACGACGCAGGCGGAGTGCGTCGCAATAAGTAATTTAGCATCGACATATCCAGCTCCGCTCGGAACCGGATTTCCTCGTGATCCTACGTCGAAAAATAGGAGGTATACAACTTCTGCGCAGTGGTCGATCGGCAGCACCTGTACCAAAGGCTGTTCATCGTAGCAGCGCATAGTGTCTGCCAAAGCCGACATTACTTGCACAAAGAGTTGCCCGCCATCCCTTATGTCAGGCCAATATGTTGATCCTCGAAACCAAGTGACCGACCGGCGAATGAGTGAACTTGCTCTGGAAGTATGTACCTCCTGGGACAAAGACGGGTCGCCCATGAGGCGATGGCGCTCGACCTAAATGGCACGAGGTGGCGTAGATACGACAAAACGCCACAGCTCTCGAGCTGCGTAAAATAAAGATGCCTGAGGTTTCGAGTAATCTAAGTCGGCGTCAAAAGACTCGCTAATCGCGTGTGGTGGAGTGGTGGTCACAAATTGCTTGTGATCTCGACTCTCCACTAGCTCCCGGACGACCAACTATCGGAAGGGGATACCACTATTCCTTGCTCTGTGTCTTCTTGCTCACCTTGTGTACCCGTCGTCGAATAGGGTTGCGCTCTTCTTTGTAGACTTGAGCTGAAGCTGAACTTGGCCGTTTTAGGGTAGGTGTTGTGTAGGTGGAAATTCTTTACCCGGTCAAACGTAGGGGCGGATCGCGTGGAAATTCTTCACTCGATCGCTTGTAAGTTGGGCGCTTTCTTAGAGTCGCCTTTGCCAAGGGTGATTCTTGATCCGCGAGCCTTCTGACCACTACTTGAGCCGTCTCGCGATTTTGAATCTTAAGCGTTAGGTTTCCTGCTTCTGATCGCAGATAGGGGGTGAGAACTGATGTTCCGCCTGGCCAAACAATTCAAGGGCGAAGCTTGCAGAGACATGGGTGACTCTCTATTCATCGGGAGGCCAAAGTTCCTGCCCGAGAGAAGTAGACGCGTGTCTTTCGTTGCGAATTCAATTCTATTTAATTTCAACCAACCAAATCCAAATCCTATGACTATGCCTATCTGTTCGCTAGGTCATCTGTTGTGCACCACCTGTCTATGTAATTCACTTTTTGTCTCATGTGGTCCACAGCAGACACTCCGAATTGGATCTCTCCCTAGTGGATCGTGGTGCGGTGGATCGGGTACAGTGGATCGCGAGGGAGTGTATCGCGGTATGTGATCCACACCAATTATGTGATCCACCTAAATCATGTGTCCACGCCGATCATATCTCTCGTGGATCGCTTCATAGTGGATCTCGGTGCAGTAGATAGCGGTGCCGCGAATCGCGGTGCAGTGGATCGCGACATGTGATCCACACCGATTGTGTGATCCACACCGATCAGCAGTACACACCCAGGATAGATCGTGGTCGATCGGTTGCATGTTAAATAGGGAATCTAAGGTCGGATCGCCGTCACGTCCGAAACTTCGCATACTTGATTATCTTGACGATCCACTCTTTCAGCTTACTTCCATATTCATCTATATCCCATTGTCATTGGCGATCCAGTACTCAAGTTGATGTTCACCCCTTGAATGATCCGATTCTTGTACCTTGGTGATCCAATCCTTCGATCGCAGATCACATAGGTACTCGTAGATCTTTGACTGTACTCCTTCTTTGCCGTAAGGTATACCAATCTGCATAATTCCCACCGTCATTTCCTGTCACTCAGTCGTGTGGCACCATCATTCGTACCAATGGGCATATCTCCGAGAGCACTACACCAATCGAATCGATCTAGCACTTAATGCAGTAGGCGCGATTAACACTTTTCATCATTATTCTTCTGCACTTCTCCACACGCGTCCCATTCATGTTTTGGGATCCCATGTAGGTCGAGGCCAGACACGCGGAAGTTGAAATCAGCCTCTTTGAAAGTACCGAGACACCGCCACGGAGTAATACGATAGTCCCAGTAGAGGATTCCACTAGGGCAGGTCCAGAACACGTGGCTTGCCATAGATGGACCAGCAGCCACACACTCATGTACAGGACACGACATGTCTTTATTAGCCCTATTTTTTGAGCGGGAAGATTTTACTCTTTAGACTGTACATCGTATTAGCGTTGGTCGGAAAGAAAGCTCTCATTTGCCATATCTCTCTACGAGTGATCA